AAGCAGTGGTATCAACGCAGAGTACTCAGTTGTAACTAAGCTCTATTTAAACACAATATAAAAGTTTTAAATTGTGCTTTTGAGTGCTTTTTTCGTATATCTTCTGCGAACTTAAGTGGATTTAAGTATGTGTTTTTAGAAACATTTTTAATACTCTTGAAGTATGTTGTAAATGTACTACTTTGCCTATTGATGCACATATTGTTCCTTATTGACACTGGGGAAAAATACACTAAAGTGCACTTTAAGCGGTATTTAATGCCAATATTTATATTTTCTATCGACACAACGTATCATTTAAAGCATATTGGTTAAAATGCATTTTATGGAAATACAGAGAAAATATGTTTAATTTGTATTTTTCATAAAGTATATTAAACCGCAAATGCATTTTTAATATTCTTTACCTAATTTGAACATACTTTTAATACTCTTAAGTACTTTTTAATACACTTTTTACAAGGGTGGCCAGGTTAGGTAGTTGCCTAGTTAGTTAACTAGGTTAGTTAACTAGCTTTATTTAGCCTTTATTTATCGCTATATAACTTAAATAATATATAATTAGTTGTAATAACTAGGTTAGGACCTGGGTGAGCGAAACAATACATTCAGATGTTTGACGACCTTTTTTTAAAAAAATAAAAAAACTTGCTGAAAAAAACGTAAAAGATTTGAATTCGTTTTTTGTTCAGCAGTCAGCAGTTAATTTTATTGCTTTGTACTTGTTACCTTTAGAGTTTTATTAGGCATCTTTGGGCTAGTTAAGTTAGCATTGCCTTAAACGTTAAAAAGTTGCTAAACAATTAGTGTTATTAATATTATTATAAGCTGTTAATACTGCCTAGTCTGTGTTAAAAAAAATAGTTGTTATTCTGGAAAGATGACTTCACACTGACGCTTTGCTTGTTTCACAGTAAATCTTCCAGGTACTGACAGCAGGGCAGAGCTCACATATTGTATCCACCTGCACAAATACTTTCATCTGAGGTTTACGTTGCAAACTGTGTAGAAGGATAGATAGCATATAGGTTTGTTTATGTATGGCTGTCTTATCAAAATAAGTGTGTGTCCGCTAAGCAGTGGTATCAACGCAGAGTACTTGAGTTGATTTAGACTAACTTTATATCTAGACCTTTATAGTGAAACCATTCTAATACCCTGTTGTTCTTTCTCCTTCTTTTTGAATGTTGTTTGTTTGTCTGACCCTTGCATATACAGACACTTGGGCATCGCTCTGGTATGCAGGTAAAATCCACTGCTTGCTGTTAACACTTTCACAGTGTCACTGTGCACCGTGCAACATCTCATTCACACTGGGGATTGGTGAGATACATGGTTTTTCATGAAGAGAAGCGAGAAACTCGAAGGATACAGGCAGATGCGGCCGAAGACGTTTCCGGCAAGCAACTACAGTGGCAACAGTCAGCAGATGTTGCAGGAGATACGGGAGAGCCTACGGAACCTCTCCCGCCTGTCTTCTGATGCTGGCAAGGTGGAGACAGGTGGGGGCAAGAGCCTGCCAGAGGACCCGCGCCAGCAGGGCCGCAGTGCCAACCCCAAAAACCCCCACCACAAAGCCCTGCAGGTGATTCGAGAATCATTATTGCCATTTGCCAACGAGCCCACCTGCACCGGTCGTGGATATGAGGTTAACATGCAGATGCTACAGGAGCTGTTGGCGGCAGGCTTTGACGAGGTAGGAGAGCCGACCAAATACAGCACATAAATTCCCCAGCATGGGTTAACAGGTTTACAATATGTTTGCCAAAATAGGAATGTTCTCTTGTCAGGTGATCATTTAACATAGTTTAGGAATGACAGCAGTGGAATGTGGACAGACAAGTTTTAGCAGTAGTACAAGGCATGGCGCAATGTTTTGCGCACTTGTTTTCAGCCACAGTTATGTGTTGGATGCTTTCTTTTTGTTAAAATGTAAGCTCTGTTGGAGAAAACACTGTTTAGTGGAATAATTTAGGCGTAACATTTTCTTATAGCCTGCACAAGATGTTTAAATGCAAGCTCTATTCATGTAAACAATAAAGGAAAGCTTGTCTTTTTGCGCTGTTTCATATAATTCACTTATTTTGTTTGCATTCGTTACCTGCAAAACAGATTAAGTAAATGTGGAGGCATGTTTGATGATAGTTTGACTTTTTAAATGTGTGATTGTGTTAAATGTGTGTGTGTGTGTGTGTGTTTAGGAGCTGGTGATCTGTGCTCTGAGGAATACCAACAATCGCAGTGTGGGGGCAGCTAAAGAATACATCAGTAAGATGAGCTACCAGGACCCAGTGAGAGAGCAGATGGCAGCTGTAGCAGCACGTCCAGCTAACACAGCCATCAAAGCAACTGGTGGGTGTGCCCCGCCTCCGGGGAGCAATGTCCACTCTTTGGCTCATTCATAGAACCAGTGTTCTATTGCATTGTGGTCACTTATTCTGTAGGAATGTCACATGGGAGCAATACCAATAAACCTGGAATGGTGTTTGTGCTTGTGTGTGTTTTAATATGTTTGTATGCTGCCGAGATGGCCTGTTTTAATGCTCTTAATGTTGCCATGTCTCTCCTACTGCTGTTTGAAGGTGGTAATTGTGTGCGTGTGTGTTTGCGTGTGTGTGTTTGTGTTTCCTACACAGGCCCCTCTCACATCCAGCAGCCTGTTCTACGGAGGCCAAGTTGGAAGGGCTCCAAGGAATCTCTGGCTCCACAGTGGCACGGAGCCCTCATGGCTGATGGCATCATGTACCGCTCTAACAGCCCTGGCCCTCAAGCTGACCTCCCCAGATCTTCCACCTACCCCCAGAATCTTGCGTCTGGGTGTCAGCAGCCAGCGGGTGAATCCTCCACTTCCACCTCAAGTTCGTAGTGTCACTCCTCCCCCTTCTTCCTGGGAATCAAACCCTGCCACCAAGCGCTATTCTGGAAACATGGACTACCTCGGGCCCCGCATTTCGCCTGTTCCTCAGGGGCAATGGCCTGACAACTTTCCAACCCCTGCAGGCCAGGCCCAAAGAGGCATCAGCCCGGTGCCCATAGGCCGCCAGCCCATAATTATGCAGGGCTCTGGTGGAAACAAGTTCAGCTTTCCCCCTGCCTGGCCACAGAATGGCTCAGGACAGGCAGAGTACGGCAGTGGCAGGCAGCCTCCTCCACCGTACCCACTGGGTCAAGCAAGCAGACATAGTCCTACTGCCCAGCAAATGCAGTCTGGTGGTCCCACTCCCTCCCCACCCTACTCCAATGGAGGCAACCTGCCACCATCCATGTTGGTGCCCAATCGTAACAGCCACAATTTGGACATGTATCTTGGAGTACTGCCTCAGCCTAGACCACAGCAGCCTGGCTCTTCCCCTGGAAGCAGCAGTAATCAAGAGGTTCCCTTACCCTCTTGGCCTCATAGCATCCCAGCACGCTCCAACTCATTCACAAACACACAATCGGGTGGACGGCCATGTCCACCTGCACCCAACTCACAGCCCTCAGCCACAACTGTCACTGCCATCACACAGGCACCCATTCTGCAACCGGTGAAAAGCATGCGGGTACAAAAACCTGAACTTCACACAGCTGTGGCCCCAACTCACCCCACCCTGGCTCCAGCAGCAGCAGCCACCCCCTCCTCACTCCCCCTATCAGGATGCTTCTGGGGCAGGGCCTACTGTACCTCAGATGCCAGCTGTGTCTGAGGTGCCCAGCTACCAGGGTCCTCCACCTCCTTATCCTAAGCACCTCCAAAAGCAGCAACCACCAGCTCCATGCCCAGCATATGAGCCCAACCCCAATGGCAGGAAGGAAGATAAGGGTGGGGAGGATGACACAGACAATGCCAGCACTTGCTCCAGTGAGCGCGCTGAAAGCTCTGAGGCAGCTGTGGGGACAGAGCGGGAGAAAAAGCTGATCAACACTTCTCCAGTCCCGGTAAGGAGAAACAAACGAGATGAGGAACGTCGAGGAGATGGTAGAGTACAGCTCTATTCACCGCAAGCCTTCAAGTTCTACATGGAGCAGCATGTGGAGAACATCTTAAAGAACCACCAGCAAAGGATCCGTCGCAAGAAACAGCTAGAGAGCGAAATGCAACGGGTGAGCATCCTTTCTTTACCTGTGCTCTCTATAGTCTGTCACTTACTTTTCTGGTCTTTGCTTCTTTCTCCTTTCCTATTATGCTGTCAGTGGGTGGCTGTCCACCACTTTGATATTATTTTTCTTTGCTCCTAGCTCTGTCTTTTCTCTTTTTCCTCTCTGTGGCAGCTGGTTATTGAAGTTGGCAGCCGCGTAGTCTGCACACATTGACAAAGTAAGGTGCTGGAAATGGAAAGGAGCTGAACAGCATGTAGAAGTCTGTCCTGGCATGAAATACACAGAGTTTTTAGGGCATGTTGAGATGCAAAATTGCATGCTTTGCTTCAGTTTGATGTTGTTGTCTTGGTATTTGTCTTGTGGATCTGTTAAGGATATAGCAGGGGAATGACCTTCATACTGCTTATTGTTCCTTGCGTGCTGTCATTCAATTGTTGGGCATAGTAGTCTAATTGGGTTTAACAATGCATGAAAACATTGTCATATCAATGTGAAACAGTGTTTGACCCATTATTGTGAAGTAAATTGCATTTGTGTGCTAAGTGGATTATTAGTCCATAATTATTATATGTACAGCAATGTACATTGGTGCCAGTCATAAACTTATTCAGATTGAATCTTGCAATCTTCTTGCTTAGGGGTTAAATGTAAGATCAGCATGCTCAATGTAAGACTCTCCCTGTTTAGTTATATTGGCAGCAATATAGATTAAACTGATGTCCTAATTAGCTAATTAAAATGCAGAAGATTATAAATAAGCAAACTTTTATCATAAGTTAAATAACATAGTAAACAGAAACCCAAACTGCAGAGGATGCAGTGGATATAGAAATGGCTCCACAGTTGGTGCCTCTCTGTTGATGTTTTAAAGGTTGTTGTATAAAGTTTAAGTTGTAAATAAGTATAAATAATATATTTTAAATACCTGATTTTTTTAGCCCTTTATAACTGGTATCTACTGCTTGTGTAAAAATCAAAAATTTTGTTTGTAAATGTTTTAATTAGTAATAAATAATGAGTAATTCTCATCTTTTTCTACACAGGTGGGTCTATCTGAGGATGCTCAGGAGCAGATGCGCATGATGCTCTCTCAGAAGGAGTCAAACTACATCCGGCTCAAACGTGCAAAGATGGAGAAGTCCATGTTTGAGAAGATAAAAACGCTGGGTATTGGAGCGTTTGGTGAGGTCTGCTTGGCACGAAAGGTGGACACTGGTGCGCTCTATGCTATGAAAACCCTTCGTAAAAAGGATGTGCTTCTAAGAAACCAGGTGGCCCACGTCAAGGCCGAGCGAGACATCTTGGCTGAAGCAGATAATGAGTGGGTGGTCAAGCTTTACTATTCGTTTCAGGACAAAGACAATTTGTACTTTGTCATGGACTACATCCCTGGGGGTGACATGATGAGCCTGTTAATCCGCCTGGGCATCTTTGGCGAAGAGCTGGCACAGTTTTACATTGCCGAGCTCACCTGTGCTGTAGAGAGTGTGCACAAGATGGGCTTCATCCACCGTGACATCAAGCCAGACAACATCTTGATCGACCGTGACGGACACATTAAGCTCACTGACTTTGGCCTGTGCACAGGTTTCCGCTGGACTCACGATTCCAAGTACTACCAGAGTGGTGAGTGATGCAGTGAATAAAACTGCTGAGTGTTTTTAATTTGTCATATCCAGACATAATTATTGTTTAGGATTTAATCTATTGGTATATGTATGAGCATTTTCACACCTGTAGTATATTGTACCTATATTTATTTAGAGTGTATCCCCGTGATTTGGTTTGTTTTCACACAGGGAAGTGCACCAAAAAATCCAATCGACCACGCCAGTTGTAAACAATATTATTATTATTATTGTCATTTTAAGACCATATAATTGTCATTTTAAAAGAATTTAAATTCCACTGACATGATGGTGATGATGAAATAAAATAGAATACCACAACAAAGCATTTACACCCTTTCAAAAACAACACATTTGTAATGAATAAATTTGTGATTATTTTCTTATTTTTTCCAGTATGTGAACAAACGTATAAATAAACATTACTTACGATTATCAAAAATGATTAAGGTCATGTCCATTCATTGTTGATAATTTAATTACTGCGACAGCCTAATAGTGACTTTTTTCCTCATTTAAATGTAACTGTTTTCACATCTGTAGTCACACATCTGACGTATACATAACATTGATTACTACATCTTACTGTAAATGCCCTCTCATTCTGCCTTACTTACACTTTGTCTCTTTCTCTCTCTCTCAGGAGACCATGTAAGACAGGACAGTATGGATTTCAGCAAGGAGTGGGAGGATCCTGCAAACTGTCGCTGCGGTGACCGGCTCAAACCACTGGAACGGCGGGCTGCTAGGCAACACCAGCGCTGTCTGGCCCACTCACTCGTGGGCACACCTAACTACATCGCCCCAGAAGTGCTGCTACGGACAGGTGCAACAGCATGCGCTCCCCTTCTATTGAAAACACATTCTGTTTTCAGTACATATTCAGTATACATTTGGTATTGCTTAAATTTTGAACTAAGCAGTGGTATCAACGCAGAGTACTTCTCTTCCATAATCATTTTCTCCCAGAACAAACGTCTTAATGCTAAATTTTACATATCACTTCTAAATTGATACAATGTGCACAAATAGTGAATAGTTTTCATATTGATAGTATAGGAAATCTCTAAATCTTGTAATAGTAAATGCACTGTAATTACAGGGTAATTGTCAATGTCTTGTGTAAGTTTATTTAAACAAATCCTCAGCCGATGATGAAGGAAATCCAACATTCATGTGGTGTTTCATTTTGTTCCTACTTGATGCTGTTCTCTGTAAGCTAACTTGTTTTTGTGTTTGTTGTGGTAGGCTACACACAGCTGTGTGATTGGTGGAGTGTGGGGGTGATTCTGTACGAGATGCTGGTCGGCCAGCCTCCTTTTCTTGCTACAACTCCTCTGGAAACACAGATGAAGGTGAAGAAAAATTGGGCCAGACCATAAATAAATGTTTCAACTTTATGGTTTATATTTTTATTCTTCTAACATGTGATTAAAATTCTCTAGATCACTAAAAGAGCTAAACTAGTAGTTACAGAACCCCCAAATATGATAAATTGACCACCATGCTTTATAGGTGGCATAGTGTTTTTTTTTTTCTTTTCTTTAAAGCAGTTGTTTTCCTTCAGTTGTACCTTATGGCAGATTGTAGGCTGAATTGTTAAAATGGTTAGAGCAGACATTTAGAAGCAAAAATACACTTTTAAAAGAAGCTAGTTTCATATACAGTGCTAACCCAGCACTCTTGCATTCTGTAAATGAAGTCAGACGAACAAACACCGACTCATATGCAATCCTGTAATGCTCTCAGGATGTTCATTATATGCCATTCATAAGTTAAAATTACAGATAAAGTGCTGTAAGGAAATTTACACAGCTTTAAAGGGTCTGTGACATATGTCACCATGGGCTCTTTTGGGTTATCAGTTGAGTGTTAATACAAGGTGCAACTTGTGCTGTGGATTTAAGAGAACATTTAAAGATGCAGATTTATACAAATACTGTTAATTGTTCCTCAGTAATTTTTGAGATAAGGGTGCTCAATCCTTGTTTCAGTGATATACCAAGCTCCAGAATTTTGTTCCAGCCTTATTCTTACAGACTGGATCCTGATCCTTTATCTCCCTGTTTTTAGAGGCATCTCAATATTCAGGTCTTGTTTGATATCAACATCCAATAGATCAGATTGATTGCTTAGGTCTGCAAACAATCAAAAGGGGATGCAACAAAGATGAAACTCCAAAGTCTATTATCTGCACATCTGATTTAAACGAGCAAATGGCTTTAAATTAGTGCTGGAATTTTATTAAATGTCTTGAAAAGGAATATAGCAGGACTGGATGTTTTGTGTGTATACTAGTTCCTTAGAAATTAAATATTTTTAAACAGTCTTTTTGTTTGTGCGTGTGCTTGTGCATGCACATGCATGTCTCTCTTGTTCTCTGTTTCAGGTGATAAACTGGCAGACATCACTGCACATCCCTCCGCAGGCCAAGCTGAGTCCAGAGGCGTCAGACCTGATCGTGAAGCTATGCCGAGGGCCTGACGACCGGCTGGGAAAGAACGGCGCTGATGAAATCAAAGCCCACCCTTTCTTCAAAAACATTGACTTCTCCATTGACCTGCGGCAGCAGCAGCACCCAGCACCCTATATCCCTAAAATAACACACTGCACAGACACGTCCAACTTCGACCCCGTTGACCCTGACAAACTGTGGAGCGACGACGATGGCAACCACAACGACACGCTGAATGGCTGGTTTAAGAACGGCAAGCACCCTGAACATGCCTTCTACGAGTTCACATTCCGCCGCTTCTTTGACGATAACGGCCACCCATACAGCTGCCCCAAACCCATTGGGTATGACGGCTATGATGAAGAAGGGGAGGAGCCAGATAACCCCACCCAGGGACAGGAGGCAGGACAAGGGCAGGGACGGGACCTGGTCTATGTTTAGTTGGCCATGCCTTACTACAAAAAAAAAAGAAAGAAAAGAGGCAGACACTGCACATTGTCTACTTGTGGGATGAATGGGTGTGTGTGGGGGGTGTGTTTGCATTTGTGTGTGTCTAGCCTTCTACTTCTTTGTTGGTACAGTTTTTACATCTGCCTTTACACTACATAAGGTTGTGTATAATTTATTCTGTGTTTAGATTGCACTCGTCAATGCGGTCTGAGCGAATGAGAATGTACGAACGCTCTGTACTTTTGAACACCCCAGTTTAAGCCTTAATTTATTTAAAGCCGCTGTAAAACGAGGACACTAGTGGCAAAGATTATATCATGCCTTCTTCACAAATGACATGTTAATTTATGATTTAAGTAGGTGGTGTCTTTCTCGCTCTGATCTGGCCTTGAGTGGGCTGTGCAGGGATTGGTTTATTTAGTAACTTTCTATTGCTGTGCCTTTCCTTTTACACTCTTTACACCAAAAAACTCGAGGGGAAATAGCGTTTTTAGCCAGTTGATTGAACTGACAGATAGTTTTGAGAAAGGATATTCATAGAGAACATTTGTGTGAATTGTATTATTAGCATTCTGTGTATTTTCTAATTTATACACTCAAATGTATTTATAAATTATGCAGTGTACATTTTTGTACATTTTTTTTTTTTTCTTCATTGTCAATTCTGTTGGTGTAGGAAATAAACCTAAGGGCAAGCTCCCTTCCTCTTTTGCTCTCTCTCTTCACCAGACCTTTTGTATTTTTATTTATTTTTCATCTACACATATACACTGTGGACTTTACACATTTTGTAAAAGTAATATGGGGGCCTGACTTTTCAGAGCTCAGTGGTCTCTAACCCCTTTTTTAGACACAGTTTGGCTTTAATGAGTGAAGCAGTAAATGTAAGAATTTGTGATATTCTGAAGCCATCCGTTGGGTTTTTGTACTGCAAGGGTAAACACAGTTCATATTGTTCTTCTTTGAGCTGCTGATTCAACTGGGCTATTTTAAGTGAAGGCCACACAAAAAAGTCAATGGTTTACTGAGGGATTTGGTAACCCTGTATCACTTAATTTAACACAAGGTCAACCAGACTTTGTGTTGCCTTTAGTGCTAAAATACAGCCTAGGAGAACATTTTTAGGAACAATTTGAAGTTTTATTTAAAGATTATGATCCCAGAAACCAGAGGTTGAAACAGCTGCATCAGACTAACCTGAAACTCATAATTAATCTTTTAACATAAACATGTAAAGAACAGTCCTGTAGCCCCTTTTCCCTACTCCAGTACACCCTTAGTTACCTCACTATGGAGTTGTTGGCTAACACTGAAAGAGATGCAGGCTAAAATACATTAAAACAATTCCATTGCCAACAAAAAACCCAAACAGAATAGCCCCAGAGCATGATGCTACCACTACCTTGCTTAACAGTTGATTATTAATTTAGTGATCCTGAAAGCTCTTAAAAGACTCCAAGTCTTCCAAGTTTCCAAGAAGTGATTATATGTATATTTTGTCCTTGCATATATAATTTGGACCCTGTATTGATTTTTTCACTCAGTACCTGATTTAAAAAGCAATGTAATAATAACGTTGACTGTTCATATTTACTATGGTAATGAATGTTATACCTACGCTCCGGGACACAAGGGGGCGATACTGGATGTAAAGATGGATGTTCACACAGAACAGCGGAGAGTAGCGGCATGTTTTATCAGAGCTGCTTCATGGCGAGGCTGAACACTTCATATCATCTCCGCACTCAGAGCAGAACATCACTAAGAACCGCTAGAGGGAGCCCACGAGAGAGAGACCACAGTGACTGGGGGTGAATGGAGCTAAACGAAAAACATATATATATAATTGTTTTTCCTTAATCAAAAATAACAATTAACCACATGGTATGGAAGCCCATTCCCGCGACCCAAAAAAAATAATAATCCAGAACATTTTTATTATTATAACGTAAACTGCTATCTCAATATTTTGGCATACTAAATCATTATTTTGAGATAGTAAGTCATTATTTTAAGATATTAGTTGGCTTTAGTACCATAGCCAAGACATTCCTTTAATTTTGTGAAAAAAAAAAAAACTTTACCTGAAGTTTCTTCGGTTAACGAGTTCTTGCTAATAGAGGTGCTACACATTACTGCAACCGAGAGTGAATAATTGTAGAGTTACAGTGTTCAAAAGCTTGTGTATATATATATATATATATATATATATATATATATATATATATATATATATATATTTGCCTCAGAAACATATAATTATGTACTGTAGTGAGAAAATGTGTGTAAGGTTTTGCTTAATTTGTTCTATATGAACCCATTCATATTGGAGCGCCCTCTGGTGGTTAAACTAACCCAGAGGAATGTGGTTAAGTGGGTGTTCTCCTGTGTATGAAAGACTGTGGTTTTGGGACATGTCAGGGTCATGTTAGTATTAAAATGCTGTTAAAATGTCTAAACTGCCGCGCACTGCACTGACCCTCAAACAGGTACAGTAACACTGAGAACGGTCTTTATGGAGCGCTGCTCGCTCCTGTAGCCGCTGTTAGAGACCGGGGTTTACAGAGTAAAGCAGAGGCTCTGAACTCACACCGTGCTGTTTATTTAGCGTCGAGTACTGATACTGTTTTCTATGTGTTTATTACTGAGGGATTTTAACCTGTTTACTGGGGGATAATAATAAATTATCCACTCGTCTCTTCCAGCAGTCTGTTGGAGTCAGGACTGTGTGCTGAATAGAGCTGAGCGATAATGATACAGACTTTACTGATTCAATACAATAATCTGATTTACTGAGAGACTGTAAAAGAGCCGATATACTGCGATTATTTTAGTCCTAGAATAAATAAACCCACGATTATTTTTATAAAATCCAAATAACAGAATGCTTTACTTCTTATCCAATCAGAACAGAGCTAACCTAACCCAGTTATCTAGCAGTAAAGTTATACTGCTCTCTAGTGGACGGGGTTTAAACACAACTCTAAAAGAACCTCTGACCTTTAGTCTAAACTAATTATTAAAAATGCATACTGTGTTTGTGTTTGATACAGTACAGCAACAACGAAATATCGTAATATAATAGAATTTTAATGTTTTCTGATTAAATCTATCAGAATACCAGCTATTTGCTGTCAGTCAGCGCGGGCATACTTAGATAGTTCATATTGAGATTTCTACAGGGTTTATTTTAAGTGGTGATTATCTTAAAACATGTTATTTACTTTTTTCATTATTATAACTTACTTTTAACCTAGTCTAATAAACCTAAACTCTCCTCCTGTAGGTTATTTGCTGTAGACATTGAGGTTGACTGTAGGTCAGAACTAAGTGTTCAATGATCTCCTCAGTTTCTACAGAGACAGAAGGTTCTAGGTCTGTACCGCAGTATGCTGAGGACCATTCGAGAGGTTCCAGAGGAGGCAGATCGCAAGTACTTGAGGGACTGGGCGAGAGAGGAGTTCAAAAGGAACAAGGAGGCGACTAACCAGGTATAAAAATTACTCAAGAAATAACAATGCAGCAGTTTCCTCTGTTCCACCCTGTGTAGCAATGCTATTTTAGAGTCTTTACCCTCCTCTGTTTTTAGTCAGGGTCCAAAACAAGATTCAAGTTTTTTCATTTATTCACTTTTTAACATTGTATACATTTGGTCTGATTAGTTGTGGACTCGCACTGCAGTTTAGTGAGTGAACTATGATCTGTTATAATAACATATAGCTTTGGAAAAGCTATATAGATTTTGTGACTCCTTTTAGCGTAACAGGTTCCCTTTGGATTCCTTTAAATTATTAGTGAGGGTTAATCTACAGTTACAGTAGATAAAGAAATCACCAGCATAAGTTTTTGCATCTATATGGCTGGGTTACACACCTGCATGGCAAGGACAGTCAAATTTCAGCACAACACTGGGTCTTTTTTCCTCTGGATTAGTTCAAGACTAAGAGACCCCTGCCTGAACTTCCTGTAATTGGTCCAAAAGATCGAACCATCTAGAAAAGTGCTTTGAAACTGAAGGAAAATGAGACAATGACTCATTAGATCAGTAGGTCTGAACTGTGGTTTATTCACACTTGTTACATTGGTTTGGACCAAATTACGTTAACCTCATTCAGTTCTTTATTAAGAGCTTATTCAAGTGTGCAAGCCAACTAAATTGTGCAACCTCTATCCTCAAAAGAAATATATGTCACACACATTAGGTCATTATTAAAACAGGTAAATTAGGTGTGTTTAAGCTTTGCTTGGAAGAATGGAATATTTTTGATCTACAAAGCAGTGGTATCAACGCAGAGTACTCTGATTTCTTCTCCATGTTTCATACAGGATGCGATTCGTATGATGATCACACAAGCCAACAATCATCTCCAAGAGCTGAAGACATCACTTGCCCTGGCCAAGAGTTGACGGATCACCATCAATAAATATACTCTGTAAAACCTGCACTAGTTTTCCTCCTCCTCTTTGTGGCCTGTTTGATTATTAGTATTACACTCTCACTGGGGTGAGCCTGACAAGTTCATCACATCTGCTGTGTACAGGAGGTTCATCAGCTTCTACAGACTGATGTATGATTTTTCTCAATCATTCGCATTGTATTTAATTTGTACAGTCCAAGCTTTGTGAATGCATTTTGATTAAATTAGTGTTGAAAGAATAAAATGAAAACGCAACACAGGTGTTTTTGATTTCTTTATAAAATATGCATTTCTTTGTATTTTACAGAAAAAAGTTACCTTTTAATATTCAACAAACTTCCAGACAACATTGACCTTCCACAGACAAGTGTCACAACAATATCTCTAAACACTTTTTACCATTTAAACACTAATGCCACATCACAGCAGTTATTACCATATACATGCAGATACAACTCTGGGAAAAAATGAGACCACATAAAATGATTAGTTTCTTTGATTTTTACCAAATTGAAAACCTCTAGAATATAATCAAGAGGAAGATGGATGATCACAAGCCATTAAACCAAACTG